CTTCATTTTTTATTACATGTGTTTTATTATTTTAAAAGCTAAATTCAATTTGCCTCCAAAATAGAATTGGTTCTTTCAAATGAAAACAAAACAAGGGTTGTACTTTCTTGTAGAATTTCTCAAAAGATCTTTTTTGTTTTGAGTCATTTTTTCTTTTCTCTTTGCTCCTGCACCAAAACTTTGGGAATTTCTATAGCAAATAGAACTTTTCTTTTCCAGGACTTAATTCTCTTATTTATAACCTAATCTCTGTTTCATCTGTTAAAATCTGTATTCTATTTTACTTTTTAAATAAAGTTGTAAGACTATGTATCTAAATCAATGACATTGCCTTTGATACTTCTGCTATTGCCAAGAATATTTTTGTGAATCTCTTTGATAAATGAAACGAGAATCTTGGTTAAACTATTTTGCATATCATAAGGATGATAAGTCATTCTTAAGTGATGTGAGTTTTGGTTGCCATAGTAAATTTTTGTTTAAAAATGACAGCAACATGGCTCAGTTGGTTAAGAGCTCCCTCAAGAGTTTGAGCTCTGAGCAACAGCGGTTCGATGCCCGGCCCAAGCTGAGCTGCCAACAGGTGGCAGGATGGCTCAGTTAAAAAAAAAAAAAAAATGACAGAAACAAAACAAATAGAAATAGTCATAATCAAAACTGCATTTTGCATTTGATTTATAAACTAGTTCTAGACAGCTTGTTCCCTAAGAAGGATCCCAAAATGTTTTTGTCAGGGACAGTGGTCATTCATTTATCAAATATTTACTAAGCACCTCCTGTGTGCTAATATTAAGATTACACTTAAAAAAATTACTGTGTGGATGTATAATTATGTTTCAAAAAATCATGCTTTCACAAATTCTGGAGATAGACTTCCACATAAGAGTAAATGTTAATGTAAAGCTTTACTATAGTGACTATACTAAATAACTTGATTACCCTATGTTGTGATGAAAGTGGTTGACTTTTTTTTCCTTGGCAGTATTTTTGACAGGTAGTGATCGCATTCCTATTCTTGGTATGAAGAGTCTAAAACTAGTCATCCAGTCAACAGGAGGTGGTGAGGAATATCTCCCGGTTTCCCATACCTGTTTTAATCTTCTGGATCTTCCAAAATACACAGAAAAAGAAACTCTGCGCTCTAAACTGATCCAAGCTATTGATCACAATGAAGGCTTCAGTTTAATATAACTTTGGAGTTGTAACTATTCAGTTTACTGCAAAAGTATTAAACTGATAATTTGGGTTTTTCTTGTGGTGATGAATTCAGCAAGGTGACAAGAAGTACTGTTATATCATAATTGCAAAATGTTTGATGCTGTGAGTATTCATGAAAGCCAAAAATTAAAGGAAAATGAACTGTGTTAATATTAAACTTATTGTACAGAACCATGGATTTTTTTGGCCATCTTCCAATAAACATGCAAGCATTGTGAATACATTGAAGTTTTACTAACATGAATTTTAAGAGTTTGCATATTTCACAAATGATGTAGTGTGTGAGTGCATGGAAATGTTGCTTGATTTTTCTTCAATCACTGGGTGAAAAACCTTTAACTTTGGCTTGCAATAGTCATTCGATTATTTTTTCATTTTGTAAATAATGTTAAGTTTTGTAATAAAATAGTAATGGTCTGATACCAGTACAGTTTCTATGGTTGTAATTGAACTGACTTTTAAGGGTTAAAAATTATGATTTAAATCTTATTCTGAGAATCTATAAAAGCAAAAAATATGGTGAAAACACAATCTTTGCTCTTTTTTTTTTGTTGCTAGACTAAAATGTCCTTGTGCAAACCTAAATTACAGATAGAAGTTATCTAAATAACTTGTAGTTCTTTCCTTTTGTGAAGCTGGAGATGCTACTGATAAATGGGGGGTTATCAAAAAGCTTAATATTTAGTAATGGAAGAACTTTGTCCTATAGTTGCCAGAAATAGAAACACTGGCTACTATGAGGACCAATCACTGGGTTATATATAGCTTTTGAAACTATTGATGCTGCAGGTTGGTATTTAGACTGAATTTTCAATGCTTTAGAACTATTTCCTTCAATTTTTAAGAAACAAATCTTAGCAGTTTTATGGTGCTGATGGCTTAGTTATCTCCTGTCATTAAATTGTAACAGTGAGTTGATGCAACACATGTGACTTTCTGCTCTAATGCAAATATTTATTTTTTAAATTTATAAAATGCCATGAAAACTGTTTAAATAATAAAGATTTACTGGTTTAATATTTAAAATTTCAGTGGTTCTCATATAAGATTCAAAATTCTTCAAAAAGAGTAATGTTTTAAGGAAGGTCTCTTTAAATTTTGAATTGTTCCCATTCCCATACAAATTTGTTTGTTTTATAGAGGTCCTCACGTGTCTTAGCCAAAACAACTTTGAAAAAATTTGCTTATCTCATTTTGCAGCAAAGCCTGATCTGAATTGTTAAGGCTGTTTGCGGTATTAAATTAGCCTAAATGGGAGTATTTGTATATTTGACTGTGGCAATGTTAATGTGTTTATTTATTGTGTTTCATCTAGGTGCAGCCTCAGACCCCCATAGGGTGCTACATAATACATGTGCTTTAAAAAATTCTTTAACATTCATAATTCCAAAATGCAAATGAGCCCAAAGTTTTTGGAGAAGAGATTGTGGACCTGTACTTTTCAGTAGTTTAACCTAAAAACTTCTACTGGTGAGACAGGTGTCTTTTTATAGATAGAAGCCCTAAAACAGTATTTTCACCTAAGGTAATTTTCCTCAAAATAGCATTCTCCCTATGAAAGTTTTTCCACGTAACTTACGACACTGTTTCCCTGTGCATCCATTCCTTGAGGGTAGTGATTGCTCACATCAAAAACACGTAGATATATGTATGTGTCAGATGCTTTTTTTCCTTTAGTAACTGCAGCATGCTGTGAAGCTGATCTGTAAAACAGCAGCCACTTTGGAGGTAGAGTTCATTGAACAATTAATTACTTGAACAAGGACCTGGCATTAGTTATCTGGGAACACAACACTACAAGGCTTAATTTGGGTAAGTTTGATATTCTTTTTCTCCCTCTGTTGCTGCAGACATATATTAGCATTAACGAGATTCATGATATAAAATTAAAACATTGAAGATTTTTCAAATTGCCATTTGCTTTTATAAAACTAACAAAAATATCCTGAGCTTCGTAGGCTAGAGTAGAAGGGCAAATACTGAGTTCACTAAATAAGGGCCATGATTATTGAGTTGTTTTTAAGAGCAATCATGTGTTCGTAGCTTTTGTAATTTTAACCATAGCCATTGTTCACACTTATTGATAAAGCAGAACCTAGACATGCCTTTAAATTGGCATTTAATAAAACCAGAATGCACGTTTTAAAACTGAGACCTAAGTCACAAGTCCTGGCCTTGTAGGGTCCATTCATAAGGGCATTCATTAGGGTTAATTTCTATTAACAGATTTTTGGCCTTCCTTCCATGATCTTACTGCATTTATGTTAACACAGTGTAGTCTGCATAGGGCAGTCTTCCCCTGAAGAGCACATGATGCTGTGAAAGCAAAGGCAGATGTTCCTGTTTTCAGCCTCTCTCCACTCCACAACCTTTTACACTTGAGCCATCCAAACTCATGGTCATTTTCCCCTTTGCTAAAAAATTCACCCTTTTCATAGTTCCCCACCCTTGCCAGTGTTCGCTAATTCATGAACTATTTCTGGGAGTAGAGTCTGCTTTTTGTAAATTGGCCTTCCCTTAGACCAGCCCTTGGGAATGGCATGTTAAGTGCAGAAGGGAACTTCCCTATTCCTTTCTTTCTCAATTCGTGCTATGCTTTTGAATCCCCTATTCCAGTTAAATCTATTTCTCTAAGAGAGGATGCTTAGTAGCTGATTCAATAGTTCCCGTTGAAAGCCACTCAAAAGAGGGGAGATAGACCATTTCTCCATATTTCTGCAAGCAACCTAGTTTGAGGTTAAGGCTTAGACTGTTCATTTCTGAGGGGGAGGTTTTGGTGTATTGACCACATTCCCCTCCTAGATTATAGGTCTAAGAATTGAGACTTGTTTCAAATATATCAACTACCAAGTCATTAGGTGATGTAAAATAAAACACCATTGTTTGAAGGTATACCATTTTATGTACCACTAAGAAAAATGCTAATTAAGCCATAGTGTGCCGTTAATTGGGGATGTGTATTACAATCCATGAAATCCATGCTGCATTAACCCAGGGGAGTGGGAATAGTATTGATTACAATGGTTTGATGAAATTAGGTCTTGCCAACTACTTGAAATGACTACATACCTCCTTTTTAAAGTATGAACTAAAAAAGGAGGAACTACCTGACTTTTCCATTTTGTGCATATATGAAATAATGTTGCTGCAACTTCTTTTTATAACATCTGAGGATCGGATTTTGCAGGTGATTTTCCTAGCGCAAACAGGATATACCAGGGCAGAGTACTTTTTATTTAATTTACTTCAAAAGTTTACTGGGGAGGAAGGCAGATTTGAGAGCAGGAAACTGCCAGTCAAGGTTTTACTTATTTCATATACTTTATAGGAGGCATGTTCCTGGCCTCTTTTATAGTAGTACGTTGTCTATCAAGAACTTGATTGGACTAAGTAGGTTTCCAGGTTAGCCTCAGAAAGTTCACATCCAGTGTAGTCTGCAGTCATTTTTTTATCTACTCCTTTTATTAAGACTTGGAAGATCTAGCACCAGGTGACTGGCTTTTATTGCATATGGGCTCTCAAATTCACTACATTTGCACCATTCCCTTCTTTCTTAGGCACTGCCTTTCCCCTCACATTTTGTCTAAGGCCCCTGACTCAGAATGGTTGAAATATTAGTTTTGAAACTTGTGATGCACCAGCTGCTATAACCAGTACTATCAGTTCTGGTTAGACTGTTATAGATTGAATGAAGAAATGTAGTATGAGAAGAAAGCATCTAATGTAGTTCTCAGAGCTATACAAATTCTATAAGATTTCAAAATTTTATACCTTAAACAATGTAAGTTAACAGAAAAAAGTCAAATGACAATTTTAATAGACTTTAAAACAGTGTACAAGTATAAAACACTGGTTTTGTATTTCAAAAGTTGGAGGAAGATATCCAGTCATTAAACAGTCTACAAAACATATGCCAGTAGATTACATAAAAGACTATGTACAATATAAAAAGAGCTGAAAACAGTCTTCACTGTAAAAATAATTTAAAACAAATTTTTCAATTTAAAATATCATCTATAGCACAAACATCATGCAAATGAAAAACTAAATATAATGCATTCTTTAGTGTAGCCAAATGAATTCAGATTGAGACATATTTTAGGTAGGGAAATGGCCATTTAGTAAAATTTTTTTATCTGGCAGTAATGGTCGTAGCTGGGTATTTTATGCTTAAAGAACAGCTATATTTCAAATCCTTTTTAAAAATTTAATAAATACCAAAGCAACACAGTAATACTTTATAATTTGGGAATACTTTATAATGTTGGGGAAAAGTCTGGAAAATAAATGTTTACTGTGCAATTTTATAAAGTATGAACTTTTTTAAAAGGCCAGAAGCTTCTGCAGTTGAGAAAGTTGATCTCTAGTTTTAAGGCAGGCTAAGCTTTTAAATAAAGACACAATAGGAACTAATTTCATTCGTTAACTATTCTATTACAAGTTACATCATGTTCATCTCTGTAATACTAGGCTAGCAGTTTGGTGTTTATTACACCAAATCCTCCCAACAGGAGACATGTACTTTACTGGCTGAGTTATATATAATTAATGTCTTAATTACTTCGGAACCGTAATCAGGGGCCTGTCACTCTCCTCATTTGTGGGCAAGAGAAGCAACAGTCCTAAATATTACACACTCCCCAGTCAGAGTACCATTATTATAGATTCATAAAGGCTTTTGCATATTCACATCTTGACAATTTAATACTTGTGGAAAAGGACCATTGCAAGCTCTACCACAGTGATAGGTACTTAAACAACAATGGCAAATATTTTCAAAACGAAGGGGACCCAGGCAGGCAGTTTCTAAAGCAAGTGAAACATTTCCAAAGCATTTATTTGTTTTTCAGTTTAGTTTTATGAGCCAATATAGACATCACCACATGTCCACAGGAAGTACAAAAGCCATCTTCATTTGAACAATACAATATTCCTGAAACTCTTAGCACCAAGTCTTACTTTAAAAAGCAAAGACAACTGAGTGCTCTCTCACACATTGTTGACTTCCTTCTACTCAAGTTGCATGTCATGAGATTTTTAAAAAGTTAGCTGCCACAAGTTTTGGGAAATGCCAGTGTTTAAAAATAGGTTAATTATGCTAATAAAGAATCAAAAGTTTTAGCAGAACAGAGATTTGAGGATTTCAAACCATTCAATGTTACAAAGAAAAATGTGAAAATACCATTCTTTGGTCTAGATAAGCTGTTCCCTTTACATTAATTTAACATTCCAATGGCTTTTTGAAAACTTTAAAATGTTGAAACTCACTAGGCAAAAACAAAATTATATATACATATAGATGTATCATACAAATGAACCTTTAAAAGAAAGTCTTGACCAAGAGCAGATTAAAGATACTTAGTACCTTTCTTTAAAAAAAAAAAAAAGTTAGTGTTGAGTGTACAAGTACAGAAATAATGAAGTTAAAAATTACCCATGAATAAACAATATTTTTCCAGTCTATAAATATTACACCTTTCTGGTTTCCTTTGTTCTATCATGTTCACAAGTAAACATTCATTTTGACATGCTATTTAATGCTGGTGGAACAATTCCTGTACCTGGACAATTAGTACATTATGATTTGTTTGATGGATAGTTAATGTCTGTTGCTTCCTGTTTCATAGATATAGCTTCATTAACTGCCTCTTGATCACCTCCATCAGCTCCAAATCCAGTGCCTCCAGCTCTCTCATTAATATCAGCATCATCTTCCAAACCATTGTAAAATTCTTCAATCTCACTTTCATCCTCAATGGGTTCTTCTAAACTTGGACTCTGGCATGTTCCACTATCACTATTACTGCCACAAGAGCTAGAGGATAAGACGTCATCTTCAGAGTCTGAATATACCTCAGCACCATGGAAAATGTAACGATTTGGTGGTAAAAACAGATATTGATTACCTGAAATACAGCAAAAAAGAAATGTTATTTCTAGTTTTTGTAAGCCTCAGTCTGATCTGACAGTCTGGAGAAAGTGTAGGTTCCAACTCTGCCTTTTAACCTGAGTATCATTACTAGAGGCTATTACTACTAGTGTTTTTCAGAAACAAGCTATAGACTCAGTACTGGGTGCAAATATGAGTTCTCCCACTCACCAGCTCTGCATTTTGGGCAGTTATCTCTGTGCCTCAATTACTAAATGAGGTAAATGATGAAAAATGTGGAAAACCGTGTTCAATAAAGGTTATTTATAGCCAACTCCTTTGAACAGATTTGATGAGATGGAGTATCCAGCCTAGTCTATATATTAGATACCTAATTCATGTTAATTGACTAACTTCTGTAAAGCACAGCTTATGTAATGGCTTCACCACCAATTGAGTGTAGTCTGTGGTAGAAAGCTAGATCCTCAGGCCCCTCTTATTTCTGTTTCAAAAGAACACACAGTATTCTTGTTTTCTAAGCAACTGGTACTAATTTCCACGATCAGAGGAGGGACAAGTACTTGTATTGTAGCTGCTAACAGGTAACCCCATCTGGCATTTCTTAATAGGGCCATCTCCTTTGACTCACACCAATTCATAGTCTTTAAGGGGTCCCAGCACATGGTTGTCCTGCACTTTTCCTATCTATAGTTTTGGCCCATGCATCTAAAAAAGGGTTTATTCTGCTCTGGTTCCCCCAAGTAACTGAATAATCTATTTCTCAGCCCAAGTACCCTATACCTGTTTTTGCCCTCTTCTTGGCAACCATCAAAAAGTCGGCCAGCCGAGTGGCGCATTGGTTAAGAGCTGGCTTGGGATGCCAGCTCTGAGCAGCAGGGCCCCAGTTCGGATCCCACATGAGGGCCAGTGACGCTGCGCCCTCTACAGCTAAGATGGTGAACAACAGCTGGACCTGGAGCTGGGCTGCTGTGAGTCGCCGGTGATGGCGTAGGCTGCACCCCCTGCTGCAGTGGGCTGCCATGAGCTACCGTGAGCTGCCAAGAGCCACCGTGAGTTGCCATCCAGTGGCTGGTGGCCAATATACCTCAGCTGGGAAGAGCGCAATGCTAATACCAACATGGGCCAGTGAAGCAATGTCCTCCACAACTAGATTGAAGAACAAAAGGACAGCAACTTGTCTGTTCCCCTTCCCTGATTCTCCAACGCAATTCCCCTCCCCCAATTCCCCAATAAAATCTTTAAAAAAATATTTAAAGTCAGTTTACCTCATATATGTTCCTACTTCCTCCTTTTTAGTGCTGACCTCACAACATAAATAGTGGCAAACTAAAGTGAGTGAGTGAAGTCTAGTGGTCATTTGGTTTTAACATACAATTTTACACTCGTCATCATTTATCTTTTTAAAGTCTCATAATGCTATTAAGTATGTGCTATTTCCATTTTAATGATTAAGAAACTGAGAGGTTAAATAGCTTTGCCCGAAGTAGATCTGAGACAACTTGGATCTCAATCCAAAACCTCTACCTTTAAAGCATAAATTTTTAGAGTAAAACCAAAGTATAACACCAAAGAGACGGCTCCAGGTTTAACCATTTGTTTATTGGGACAAAAAAAATGTATGTTTGACCCATCTGTCAAAGAGATTTTCAAAGAAAACCCCCAGTGCAAAAGTCTTAGTGCATAGGCAGACTTTTTATATGGTAGACTTATATTACCTGACTAAATCAATTATTTTTGTCTGACTCTTGCCACATTTGGAAACATGAAGCATTCTTCTATGCTTTTTCTCATTTTGCCTCTGAAGACTTTCCTTTTAACTCATTGTTCAAGATCAAAATCCAAAGTTGATTTTTAGAAAGCCTTATATAACCTAATCCCCTCCAAGTAACATCTATTTTTACATACCGTATTTGCCGGCGTATAAGACGATTTTTTGGCCCTGAAAAATATGCCTCCAAGTGGGGGGTCGTCTTATACGCCAGGTACACTTCAGATAGACTGCCCATAGTGCTTGCCCCGTGCCATAGTGGCCTCCCGATGCCCGCCCACTTCATTCCACATACCGTTCAGGCATCAGCAGCGCTGCTGGGTGTATGCTCGGCTGTTATGCAATTTTACCACACTCGCAAAATCGCACACAGCCGACCATACACCCAGTATGATAGCGCAAAATCGCGAATCGCGATACCATACTGGGTGTATGGTCGGCTGTGTGCGATTTTGCGAGTGTGGTAAATTCGGGTTACCGTATATTTCTTTACATATGCATTGAAGATTCGCAATTTTGCGCTATCATGGTGCCTGTTAGAATGTTGAAGAGCTCGCACTTGCGCACTAGTGAGGTCCCAGGGAGATGCTGATGCAAGGGTGGACCAGACTGCTATAGTGACAGGGCGGGCAAACAGGGAGCAGGGACCAATCAAATCAGGCTTTGTATACAGCCAACAGCCAACCACAATACTGCACCATTGTACAGTACAGCATAGAAAATGTCGACCAGTCAAACCCCTATCATCCCTATCATGGCACCAGCCAAAAGAAAGAAGTATGATGCAAATTTTAAACTGAAAGTTATAAACTTTGCTAAGGAAAATAATAATTGTGCTGCTGCAAGACAATATGGAGTAACAGAAAAGATGGTTCGGGACTGGAAATCAAATGAGAAAGCATTAAAGAGTATGCCAAGGGGTAAGTGTGCATTAAGAAGAGGCACCCCACACTGGCCAGAACTCGAAAAACATGTAGCAGACATGGTGGCTCAACATCGCCAAAACGGTTATGTGGTGACACGAAATACAATACGCTTGTTTGCACTTCAGTGGGCCAAATCAAATCTGATATTGTTTTACCTTTTATTTGGTGTGTGGAAGGTGTGCGGAAGAGGGGGTAGTCTTATACGGCGAGTATATAACAAACTCTGTATTTTGAGTGGAAATGTTAGGGGGTCGTCTTATACGCCCAGTTGTCTTATACGCCGGCAAATATGGTACTTTTTTTATCACCTATTATGCTACTTGGAATTCAACACTGATTTCCAAAAAGTTGAGTGATTTCACCTATGTTAATACTAATCGGTAAAGACTTCCCATGTAGTACAATAGGGTAGATGTTTTCTAGATCTGAGATAACAGCATAATAGTTAAAAGGGCAGGCTTTGAGAAGGACAGGCCTGGAATCCAATCTTTGCTCTTCCAAGTCCTAGTTGTTGCCTTGAATGGGGTACTTAACCTCTGTTCCTCAGATTTCGCCCCTGTAGCAGAGACATAATGATAGTTCCTACCTCAACACACTATATCTTCCCCATATTATGTAAGATATTATTGTTTATCTTTCTCTAACTTGAACTTTACAATTTTTCTAAACATAATCAACTACTACATTTACCTGCATAAAGTTACCCTATCAACTAACCTCCCAAAATCGCTCATTTCTTGCAATTATTTTAACAATAATTATAATAGGTTCTTACCATCAAGCCGTTTACTAATCTGCTCCTTTGCTAGTCTAGCTGGCCAGCACTTTCTCACTGTTTCAGCAACTGAAATCCTTTCATTTTTCTCACCAGTACTGGAGCTAATGTTCTTCAAATCTGGACTCTCCAACTGTTCAGTAACACTTTCAGTGCTCCTAGTAGAAGTATGTACTTCCTGTGATTTTTCTTCCATACAATCTCTTGATTCAGACCCATCTGCATCATCAACATTACTCTTTGTTGCTTGGTCTAAAAATGTGACCATCACTGAAGAATCTGGGGGTGAAGTTCTTTCTGGTGAACTTGAGCCTTCTGAAATATTAAGAGGTGTAGGTGGCAACTCCGACAAATGAGCCAACTCTTTTTGTGTTCGTGGAGGTTTTTCAGTAATTTCTGAAAGCTTTACAGGGTTGCAGCAAAGTTTGGCATATTCACCACCTAACCTATGACACAATTCATTAATTATGACATCACAGTCTCCAAGAAGCTCTACATCAAAATGCAGATGAGGCAAAGGTTCCCTATTAATTAATATCTGAGGCACTTCATGGGGTATGGAACCTAAAAATAGGGTGAAAAATAAGAGTTAGAAAAAGGGAAGGAGGTAACTAAAAAAGCCACAACACTACGTGAAAAATCTAACATGCTCCCAATATCAAAAAAGAAACCCACCACTAATACTTAACCAAGCTATTAACATTTCATCAAGCAATCAAGTAAACAGGTGAGCAATTAAGAAGCATCTTTCATAAAATTTCAGGTTCTCCTGTCACCTGGTTTCCTCTGAGCAATCTTCAACTTTTTCGCTCTATACCTCAATTTCCTTGCTTGTATAATGGGGATAATAATACTTTTCCACAAGGTTGTGGTGAGGATTAAATGAGTTAATATATGTTAAGCGCATAGAAGAATTCTTGGCACATGGTAAGTGACACTTATTTTACTGAAATATAATAGCTCCCAGTACAGAGTGTGAGGACCTGGTCAAGATGGCAGAGTACAGAAGAGCTCACCTATTCTCACGATAACATCAAAATTACAACTAAATTATAGAACACTCACTAAGAACCACCTGAAGACTAGCTAAACAGAGCTCCTATGACTAAGGATATAAAAGAAGTAGCCACGTCGAGACTGTTAAGACGGTGAAGATGCTGACCAGGCAGGTTCACATCCAATGTGGTGATTAAGAAACTGGAGGAATCCATTGCTGTGGAGGTCCCACCTGAGGAACGAGGGGTTCCCAGCCCACATCAGCTTCTGCAGCCAAGAGCACCTACCTACGTGTATGCCAGGAAAAGAAATCCCCATAACATTTGGCTGTAAAAACCGGCAGGAATTGTGTCCAAGAGACAAAGTGCTGCAAAAGGTGGAGGTGCTGTTCTAAAAGGCTCATGCACAAACTTACTCTAAGCTCCAGCAGGGACAGCAGCTTGAAAACCACCAAGGACATATGAGGAGGAAGGGCTAGGATGACGGATTGGGGCAGCTCTTTCCAGGGAGGGAAGTACTGGCAGGCTCCATTGTTCCTTTGTAGAACTCACCTCCCAGCCAGCCTGCCTGGTGCAGGTGGGCACCAAATCTGTGTACTCGATTAATTTGGCTAACAATGTTCACCCCATCCTAGTGATTCGGAGATACAGCCTCCCGCAACTCACATGGCTGGCCAGAGTCTCTCCTGCCAGAGCAGCTTTCCTTCGCTTGTGCTACAGACTCTTAATAAAAGGTCCACAAACCCCACACAAGTAGCAGATGGACTCAGCATGCATTGTAGCTCCTGCCAAGTGGCCTCAAGCCCAGCACAAGCCCCAAATGACCTTGGCCTGCACAGGAGCCTCTCCCAAGAGGCTCCAGACCAACCCCACCTGTGCTGACTTCAGATAACAGAGCTCTACCCTACCAGCTCCACACCCAAGGGGGCATCAGCTAGCACCAGAACCCCCCCACACTCCCCAACCAAGCGACTCCTGCTACATGACACCTTTTACATAAATCCAATCTGGCAAGACCAGGAGACCAAGCAAATGTATCTAATACATAGAAACAAACACAGACTCAACCAAAATAAGGAGATGAACATGTCCCAAATAAAAGAACAGGACAAAACTCCAGAAAAAGAACTAAAAATGGAGACAAGCAATCTTATCCGAGAATTCAAAACATTGGTTAGGAGGTCGCCTGAAATTGGGAGGACAGATGAATTCAGTGAGAACATCAACAAGGAGACAGAAAACACAAGAAAGGAAATACAAAACAACCAATTGGAACTGTTGGTGAGGATGTGGAAAAAAGGGAACCCTTGTGCACTGTTGGTGGGACTGCAAATGGGTGCAGCCAAGCCACTATAGAAAGTAGTATGGAAGTTCCTAAAAAAATTCAAAATGCCTTATGACGCAGTAATTGCACTTGTGGGTATTTATCCAAAGAAATCTAAAACACTAATTCAAAAAGATATATGCAACCCTATGTGCACTGCAGCATTATTTACAACAGCCGAGATATGAAAACGACTTAAAGTGTCCTTCAATAGATAAATGGGTAAAGAAAGAAGATATCAAACATATATGATGGAATGTTACACAAACATAAAAGGAATGAAATTTTGCCATTTGCGACAACATGAATGGACCTAGAAGGTGTTATACTCAGTGAAATTGTTACATAAAATTTCTTGTACCATGTTAAAAAATAAATGCTAAAATTCCTTTACAATACAAAAAACAAGTACCTAAATGTAAACAAGTAAAACTTCCAATTAAAAAATTAAAATATTTTTTCCCTGAAAGTTTGGACCAAAAACGTGGGTGTGCAGTATACAAGGCAAAATATGGTATAAGTGGAATCTAAAGAATAAAATAAACAAGCTCATAGATAATAGAGAACAAATTGATAATCACCAGATGGAGGATGGGTAAAAAGGGGAGAAAGGGATTAAGTATAAATTGGCAGTTACAAAATAGTCAAGGAAGTGTAAAGTATGGCATAGGAAATAGTCAATAATGAAATAACTGTATAGTGTCAGGTGAGTACTAGACTAATTGGGGGGATCACTTCATAAATTATATAAATGTTTAACCACTATACTATACACCTAAAACTAATATAATATTGAATTTGTCAACTGTAATTCAAGAAAAAAAGTACAAGTTGGCAGTTACAAAACAGTCATGGGGACGTATAGTACAGCATAAGGAATACAGTCAATAATATTGTAATAACTATGTATGGTACTAGAGGGGTACTAGGACTTATCGAGATGATCGCTTCATAAGGTATGTAAGTGTCTAATCACTATGTTGTACACCTGAAATTAATATAATGTATGTCAACTATAATTGAAAAATAAATTTTAATAGTGAAAATTCACACAAGGCTATTCTCCACTATTATATACCACTATTATATACCTGTCTTAATTTTTTTAAGTGTACCTTTATCACCAACACACTATTATACTACCCCACGGAAAGCTTTAAGAATTTCTCTGCCTTACCTTTAAAGAGAAAAATAACTCAAAAACTCGAAGGATCTTGTACATTAAATTTTCATTTTTTAATTATATATTGTCCTATATTCTACTTTAATAGAATTTCACAGCTATTTAGGGAAGACTGATGAGTTAAACTACTAAAAGCCACTACACCTGGGAGTAGGAAAACGATGCAGAATTGGTAATTCCTTGTTTCTTCCAACTCTTTACTCTGGCTGCTTATTAGATTGATGGTGTCTAATTTAATTCTGATTAAGGGTTTGATAGTCTCTTCTCTTCTCCTTCCCTCATTTTTTTAGGGCACACCTGATGCTACTGAGCTAGTCCCTTCATCTTCCTCATCTCCCCAGCTTCCTCACTAGAGAGAGAAAAAAGGTAGTATGAAAGCACATGTTAAAGAAATGTTCCTGAGAATAATAGGGACTTAAACTGTATTTGAGCATTTTTATACACAAACACCTTTGTGGATAAAGTAGATCCACATATAATAATTATGACAAGGCATGATTGTTATTCTTACAAAAACAAGCCGATCATTCTGAGCCCCCAAATTCTATTTTACATAATACATTATACTTATGTAAAGCTACACATTTTAACTTAAAGTTGAACTGTTTCCCTTTGTCTTAATTTTTAATATACATTAGAATCTGACATTACTTCTGTTTTGACAACACTCTCCCGCCAACCAAAATGTCAGATTAACCCATCTTCATGAACAAGAACGTCACCTTAAATATAGTTTGGCTCTTCACCACTCTATCCAGAAACAGAAATATCACTGGGATCTACCGCACAGACCCACAATCCATGTCAATATATATACAGAAATATTCTCTAAAAATCATCACCAACTTACTTGGAATTAGTGCTACTGGTCTTACTTTCAGGGAAGACCCAATAACAATGAGGAGATCAACTTCATCTTTGTCATACTTCATGGCTCTATGAAACTGTTCTGGTAAATTTTCACCAAAAAAGACAATCTCTGGTTTCATAATAGCAAGTGGCTCATCAGCTGGGCACCTAGGACATCGAGGAACCACCTGGATATTTCAGATTTTGGTTGAGGTGGGAAAAGAAGGGAAAACCCAAGTTAGAAATAATCAACATTTCCACACTTCCTAAGAATGCATTTCAAAATCATAAAAACAAACAAACAAACAAAAAACCCCCAAAAAACAAGACCATCAAAGCTGTGGATAAATAGGAAAAACTAGACATAACTTAAACATCAATGTCAATTGTCATTAACCTTTTGTTTAACATAACATACAATGAAATACAATGTCGCTATTATCTGTGCTATTATAAATCTGTATAGACGTACATTTGATATTCAAGAATGCATTGTATGTTAAAAAAACCCCAGCATGTGTGTACATGTACACCCATGTGTACACACACACACACACACACACAGACACAACTTAATCCTTTAAAAAAATAAGTTTGTAAGATACAATGATTCCATTTAATATGCTATCCTCGTTTTCATATTTGATTATGCAGGTGGGTGCATAGAATTTATTTCTGGATGATTTTTATTCTCTGCCATATCTTCCTGTAGTTTTTTGGCAGTGAGCATACATATATGCATACCTTTTACAGTAGTTTTTTAAATGTTTTAAATAATTACCACCCTAATTTAAGATTCTGAGTCTGACAGACACTTAAAAAGGAGAGTAAGAAGAAAAACTAATATAGCAACACTTTACTTATGATCTGGGTTTTTATTTTAATCTTAGATATTAAGGAGCCAATTTCATCACTTTAGAGGCATTATGGAGCAATGTTTTCACCTTAAGATATTAAAGGTTCTTGTGTATTTCACCAGAATGCCCAAAGATAACACTCTCTTCCCTAGATTTTTCTGTACCACATAAGTGCTTTCTAGAAAAAAAAGAAAGGATTTGAAGGCAAAAGAAGAAACAGATCAGAGACATGCACAGTTCCTAAAATATGGGTGATAGATTACCTGATTAAAAATATCTCCTCGTACAGCTTCACAGTCAACTTTGTATTTACAAATCAGGCAAGATGCTGTTGCAAAGGAACCTAAAAACAACCAACATATACATGTTTCATTAAAGAAATGTTTCCATTTATGAAACATACCACAAAGGTTCTAATAGAAAGTTTGACATCAGAAAAGTTAAGAGAGTTAAAAAGTTTTAAGAGATTCCACGGGACAGTGTAGGGGATGAAGAATTAAAATAATTATATAATAAACAGAATTCAATCTTCAGTTGCTGAGATGTTGATACAATGCTTGATCCATTCTTTCCAATAAAATAAACCAACTCCTCTAGCACTAAAATTCTACAGAGTTGGAAGGTTACAATTGTATTGCCTTAGCTTAATTAGTAACCATGTTTTAAAAACAGTTTAGATACATTAAGAAAATGGTCTGTTCATACTTATTTTAGATTGAAAGTCTAAATTTCAGAATCCTGTACATCTGAACCACCCAGTTCCTTTGGTTTCATATTCTAAAGATGTCATATTTTTCATACATAGATATTTAGAATTTAACGGAATGCAACTGCTGTGTCTTTTGAAATCCAAAAGCACATTAATTTTTGAAGTTTGTACAATTAAACATCTTCTGATTTTATTTTTATGTATTCTAATTTTATTTTATCTACAATTGATCAGGTAACATGATTAAATAATAAAGCTTAATCTCCATTCCTAAAGAGCAGCCCACTTTCTAATCCTAATTCTTTGTAGAAAACAAACTATTTAAATAACAGAAAGTAATTCTGAAGTTTACTGACCATGACATTGAATTATCCTTTGGATTCCTGCAACCTGCTCCAGTGTATCTATGTTCTGAGTATAGTTGCGAAGTAGTTTTCCTTCCTTATCTGACAAGGCTATGAATTTGTGACAGAGAGATGGTTGGAATTGTCCAGGATATATTTCCTATACAATGCAAAAAGCAGAAATAAGTATAACAGATGTCATGTTATGTTTAACAAAAAAACTACCAATGATAATCTCCATGTATAATTTTTAAAAATACATGAGCATCTCAAAGCATCTAGATGGATGCAACACACACCTGACAAAAGGATTGTTGCAGTAATATGTATAAAACTCAGCAATTAGTGAACTTGGCCCCTTGAAGAAAAAGATAGTCGACCCATAAACATCTCTAATAAATGTTAATATTTTAATAAATGTCAGAAGTAATACACCTTAGAATATATCTAATTTTTGTTGGCTGCAAATTCAGATTTTTTTTTAAAGGAAAAAGGGAAAAGTTTAAACTGAAATTAAAGATATCAAAGGTATGGTGACTTCTTTTAAAAACTATAAAAAAGCACTGTCAACATAATATTAAGAAATTTTGATTCATCATTCGTTATAAATATCAACCTGTTGGAAGTTTAAAGCTAAAGTTTTAATTCCTTACCAAAATTGTTTTCCTTCCACTGCACAGGCACATACTGGTATAGTATAGAGCTGCTCATGAATGCTGAGTTGCTGGATTTTGTGTGTGTGTTTTTCCCCCCAAATAATGCTTCAATGCTGTTTCTTCTTTAAAAACAAAGAATTCAGATATACACATGGCAAAAAGATCAGAGAAAGAGTATCAATTTTGGTCCTCTCAACTTTTGACAGTGTTTTTATTAAATTTCATTTAGTAAGTGACTATGGCAAAGGAAGTTTCTTCTCTACTTTTTTCTTTCAAGTAGTAGTATTACCTACTTCCTTACCATTCATTATAGCCTCTAACCTATTACAATGCTAACAAAAGAACTAGACACAACCGTATGTCCGTCAATAGGGGACCGGTTGTAGATATATGGTACCATCCTAATAGTGGAGTATGCAGCCATTAAAATGAATGAAGGAGATCTAAATGCACTGACCTGGAAGATGGTCTATGACATACATGAAAAAAGCCAGTTAAGTCACCAGTGTGTATAGTCTTACTTTTGTTGTTTCATTATTAAGCAAAAATGGAAATTATATGCACATGTATATAGTTATGCTCATATAAACGTCACATCAGGAAGGATACAAACAAGCTATAAACAGGTGGGGAAACTTTCATTTCTGATATACAAAAAGTTTAATAAGATTATAGATGACTTTACTTTTAACCTATTTAATATTTCAAATTTAAAAACTATCTACAGGGATACCTTTTAGGTAAAAATAATAAGCAAATCTCATTTTAAGTGTCACATACGTGTATTATATATCCATATGCTGCTGAAAATGTGTTATACAAAAATCCAAAAATTTTGCCTCACATTCAAATTTTTATCATGAATTTCTTGGACACTTTGTAATTTAAGAAACAGATAATGTATATATAGAAAGAAGTAGCAAACGAAGAGCTTAGTAAAGCTAATGTTTATTCAAAGGAAAACTGAAAGCCACATTATGTTCTAGACCATTGGGTTGTGCTACAGTAACCACTGTTTTAGCCCCAAGATGCTTTGTTCTAGTTACATTTAAAGGATTAAATATCATAGTATTTTATTAAAGTCCCTTTGGAAATAACTGTTACAGTGTTTTAACAAATATTAGAGTATGCTAGGCAAAAGATGAAATAGGATCTAAAATAGAAAGAAAAGTGATAACAGCATGACTCGTGGGGAGCAAGAGTACCAAGACTCCACACTCCCGAAATGAATTACTGTGTGCCGTATCCCCCATCCCCTCTTTTAAAGAGACGGGGGGTGGGGGGTAGCACAAAAAAATATGGACACTAAATTCAGCTCTACACTCCAGTTTCCCTTCATGTCCAGGGTATAGTTAAACTAGCCTTTCAAGTTATGAATCAATTCTTGTAGTTCGCGATTATCTATGAAGCAATTTTATTTTATAAACCTAAATTTTATATGTTAGAACCTAAGTGATTTGAATCTTAACTTTGTCTATTTTCTTTGGAATATGCAGTGGACTATGTCTGAACCATTAAATTTAAATACTGTGTTCAAACTAAGGGATATAATCTGAAATAATGATAAAAAACTACTCTAGAAGGACTGTTTTAATAGAAACTACTCCTAAGGCAGGTCCTTAACTTGAAAAGTTGCTAAAAACCAACCACCTAGGGATACAAATTTCAGCTAAAGTACGTTTTAATTCTTCCATCTAGCCCTGTTCTAATCAAGACAGGCCATCCCAAATCTGAACATCCTAAAGTCCTATTAAGGAACCAACAATGTGGACTGGGCCATTCTGTTATTATCATGGGATCCTCACAGACTAGAGTATAAGCAAAGCTGGTACCAAAGGCTCAAAACACTTAAAAAAAAAAGAACCATTGCTTCTACATGGTTGTGTCCAGAAATATGCAAACAATCCAACAAACGTGGTCAAAACTAAAGCTTAGAACTTCCTGCCATACTCAGTTTTCAAGCAGAAATAATGGCTTTCCTCCAGAGATGCTCTCTGCTTGGAAATTTCTTCTCAAAATATCTAGCAATATGAATGAGACCCCAGTCAAAGGCAAGGGTGTTAACTGCAACCCCTCAAAAGAGACTCATCAAAGTTTGAGATGCTACTATTTGCTAATATAGAGTTGGTAAGAAACTATTTGGTTGTCGGAAAAGTCATGACATTTTTTCTATGGTTTTTTTTGTTGCAAAAATGCATCATGAGTTTTCCAACAACCCAATAGAACCTAAAATCTCTAGGCTGCCAAAAAGTAAAACCGATCAAATCCTGGTCAGGAAAATTCTCACAATCCCATCTTGTTTCATTCATTTCACAAAACCCCTCTTGAATAGACTATTATATCTTACCTAATCAATACTTACAAATTAAAGTTAGTCACATGATGAAGAAATTCAACTGCCTTTTTTTTTTTTTTTTCAAGTCTGGTTCCCTGAAGAACTCAAGGTTCAGCAAACTTTTTCCACACAGGCACATCAGATAGTAAGTATTTAAGGCTCTGCAGGCCATACAGTCTTTGTCCATATGGTGTCTATTGCAACCACTCAATCTTCCATTGTAGGGCAAAAGCAGCCACAGACGATATGCAAACAAATGAGCATGGCTGTGTTCTTTATGGTCACTGACATTAGAATTTTCATATAATGTTCATATGCCATGAAATATTGTTTTGATTTTTTTCCCCCATCCATTTAAAAATTCTTAGCTCAGGGCCGGCCAAGTGGCGCGATGGTTAAGAACTCGCTTGGGATGCCAGAGGGCCCCGGTTCGGATCCCACATATGAGGGCCAGTGACACTGCCCTCCACAGCTAAGATGCTGAACAACAGCTCAACCTGGAGCTGGGCTGCCATGAGTCGCCGGCGACGGCGTGGGCTGCAGTCCCTGTGGCAGTGGATTGCCATGGGCTACCGTGTGTGGCCAGCAGCCAGCGTGAGCGGCCAGCAGCCGCAGTGAGCGGCCGTCCAGAAGCCGGCGACTGATCTGCCTCGCCAGAGAAGAGCGCAATGATGGTGCCAACTTGGGCCAGTGAAGCAACGTCCTCCACAACTAGACTGAAGAACAAAACGACAGCAACTTGTCTGTTCCCCTTTCCCCAATTCCCCAGCACTGTTCCCATCCCCCCAATTTCCCAATAAAAAAAAATCTTTAAAAAAAAAAATAATAAAATAAAATAAAATAAAAATTCTTAGCTCACATTCTGTACAAAAACAGGCAGTGGGCTACATTTGGACTGAGGCTGACAACCCCTGTACTCAACATGAGAGTTTCAATCAGTCAAGCTACTAATTACCACTTAATGAAGTTTTTGTATGTACCAGGCATAACAGGCATAGCATTTATTATAATGCTATAGACTAGACTGAGGGCTGGTTATTTACATTTTGAAGGGTTGTACAGGAAAACAACATATAACAAACAAGAACTCCTGTGTTGTCCACAAAGCAGGTCACATTTACTACCTGGCCCTATTAAGAAAAGATCTGCTGACCCCATTTTGCCGAAGAAAAACCCAAAGCACATAAATAATCTGCCAAGTCACAGGACCCAATAAGTAGCAGAGCTATCATTCAAACCCAGTTCTGATACCAAAGTGTGGCTCTTAACCACTGTGCAATACTGCCTTTTCAGTTTTTGATACCTCAACCTCAAGTTTCATATTTTTCTTTTAGGCTAAGCACCATTCTGTTAGGTATTGCTAACTAGTCTAAGAAGATTAGTCTAGTAAATACACTTCATTTTGCACATCTTCATGGGATTACTGGAAGTTGGAATTCCAATCACCCTCTAACATAAAAACACTCAAGAATACATCATGTTCCCTCCAATCAGTATAAGAAAAACATCGCAATGGAAAAAAATTGCTAAGAACAATCAGGTGATTCAAAGATATACACATGGCCAGTAGTAAAAAGCAGTCATCCACAATAAAAAACAGAACACTAATATGATGAGAGAACATGCTAATTTTTTATCTACTGAACTGACAATTGTAACTGCCTTAAACACTTTAAATATCCATTAATAGATTAAATATATTGATACAACTATAAAATAATACTATACAACATTTTCTTAAAAATATGTTAAGTGTCACTATGAAACTTTCCAAGAATATATTAAGTGGGGGGGGGGAAGCAAGGCAGAGACAGGGTGTATGATTCTGTTGGTAATCATTTTTAAAGCATTATGAGAAACTTACAATACCTCTCTTACACACACATAAGTTTACTCTCTTTTTTCCTAGAACAATACCCAAGAAAACATTCTACCATGGTAACCTTTGAGGAAAGAAATCAGAGGGAGGTAAGACTGAAGGGAGAGCCAACTAACATTTATATTTTGTACTGTATTAATTTCTTTTTAGACTGTGCCACCACACACACACACACACACACACACACACACACACACACACACACACAGATTTAAATAATAATAATGTATTGGGGGGGCAGGGACATGCTAAATCAGCCTTCTCTTACACTTCTGACAGGAGTGTATTTTATAATATTTAACCTTTCTAGGTAGCAATACAGCAAAATATATCAGAACTTTAGCATCTCCCTTTCAAGAATTTATCCTAAGAACATTGGAACACAACAAATAGGACAATCATGCAACACTATTTGTAATACAAAGTAGGGAAAATGTACACTTACAGGATTAATTACAGTACACCACTTAATGAACATTATGATGATTATAAAGTATTCAAGTATCTGACAGAAAAAAGTAGAAACACTATAAATGCAAATCAGTAGGTAAAAGAGCCTATTTTTATAATAAAAAATATATATCCATGTATACTTACATTTATACATCTATAATCCACTTGCACATAGGTATTAAAATATTGTCTTCAGGGACTGGCTATTTTTTCTTTTTTGGCTTGCATTTTTTGATTTTTAGGTAATAAGCTGGTTTTAAGATTCCTTAACTTTGTAATACATAATCTGGTATGTTTGCATATTATCAATAAAGTGATAATTTACTGAATAAATATAAATTTTTAGAATTAAGTTCATAAAAATCCAGTTCATATTTCCCCCTCTATTTTTTCTTGTTTTAATCACTTTAGGGGGAAAAAACATTCAGTGACTTCAATATGGGATAGCTAATTCACTCTTTGGTACAGCTCTTTTTCTAGAAAAAGTTATTTTATACATTCTCAGTTTCACCTTTACTGACTCCTAATACACCCATTCATTTTTATCAGCATCAATTATTGTAGACTCCTGAGAACCATAACTACAACTCATTATCAATTTAAGCCCTTATTATGCAAAAGGATAATGGTTCAGGACATGGCTATATAGCTTTAATGTTGGCCTTTATTGTTCTTGTGTAAAAAAATTCAAAGTGGTAACACAGCTAGGCATACTGTATTACAATGGTGCTCAAACCGGGAGCAATTTTTCAGGGGACATTTGGCAATGTCTGGAGACATTTTTGACTGTCAAGACTGGGGGGTGGGTTGTTAATGGCATTGAGTGGAAAAAGGGATGCTGCTAAATACCCTACAATGTAAAGGACAGCTCGCAGCAAAAATTATCCACCCCAAAATGTCAACAGGTTGAGAAACTGCTCTAATGGACCAGTGACCTCTTTAACACACTCTCCATTACTTCAAATTCCAGTCTGAATGAAATCTAAGTTTCTTCTCAATAATTATATAAAATCAGTTGCTTGATAACATTAAGGAAATTCTTTCTTTCCAAAATTTGTCTAAATTTCACCAAAGCAACTTTATATTATATTCATTTTCTCTCATAACTAGCCAAATTCACAAGCCATCTTAATGAACTTTCTGCGTAGTACAGCAACTAGAAAATTTTAGGTATTTTAATCATGTAATATTTTGTGAATCTAGTACAATATAACAATATTTACATACCCTCCCCATTTTTGTACACTATCCTTTGTTCTTTGTCCTCATTTCTCCTTAACCTTTTTCCCAATTATTTATTTTTAGACCCAGTATTAACTCAGTCTCTTCTACCTATTACTGTTAATTTTAAGTGCTACTTCAGCAACTAGCAAGCTTTCTTTTAGATAGTTCCTAACGTGAGAAAGTGCAACAGCTCTATATGAGTACCAGTTATAAAGGTTAATTATTTAGCTCTTATAATTTAAATGAAAACTCAGAAAATCAAGGAAGCAAAATTAAGTTTATATAAACAAGACCGGAAAAGGCTGCACTTTATAAATGATTGACCTTAATTTGCTTTCATTCTATTAACTAACAATAAAAATACACATCAATTCTTAAAACTTTTATAGACAAATGAAAAATGCCACCCCTCCAAACTTTTCTTCTCACAGATGGTATATAATCTATACACACAGTGGTTAAGAACACTAACACATTAACAGTATGCCATTTTTACTGTAATTCTCATATTTTCTTTTCTTTTATGCACTGTCTCGATTTCTATTAAAATAGTGCACTTTTTAAAGTTCTTGTAATTTGTCTTTATCAGAGTAATTCTGAATTGTTTCTGCAGGTTCTTACATGTCAAAGCTAGTTTAAGCTTCAAATGAATACCAGTTTGTATATTAGATAACTTAGGTTACAATCTTTCTCATCTTGCTATTTCTATTCTCAGTTACCACATTTTTCCAAGTGTCAGGTTACTTACTTTACTAAGCAATTTACTACATACTTACTTAAGTGATGGGAAAAAAACTGAAAAGTTAGTTTGGGCAACATGTTTTCTTTATCTCAGAACACAGAATTTGCAGCAAGTTTTAGGAGCATTATATAAATGGACTAGTGAGTCAAGCTTTCATAATCAGACATAAGATCAAACTAATTTCTAGTTACTTGTTGGCCCTCTGCTACTACAGCTATTATAATGCCAGTATCACAGGTACAATTCAAGAAACATAACTGAGTGATATTTCATTGGTCTGCAAAATCACGCGTTAATAACACTAGCACCAGTATGTTAAAAGAGTAAATCTTCACTAATTCATAATCTTATAATTAATAAAAAGAAAAGCGAAAAAACTACACTATTGATTTGATTCGGTGTGAACCAGGTGATTATTCTATTACTATTGCTGCAACTTAAAATAAAAAGTTCAAAACTTTTACAAGTTTAAAGTCAATGGTTGGAAAGATTAAAAATTTTCTTAGTAGCTTAGAAATTTCTGAAATTTATTTTTCAGTTTTAGCAATTAAATCATATCCAAGAAATTTTAATGTAATTTTCCCAATTTACTCTAATTCCTACTTATAACCACGCTTGGATGAAACCAAGTATTTCTTTTAGGATACTCAACCAATTTAAACACCATTTATTCTGAATTAGCAGAGATTTTCCTATAGTTATATAAATAGATCAAATCGTTTGAAAGTAGCTGAGGTGGTGACCCTTTAAAAATTCAGGTTCATTTAATTTCTAGATTCACTAAAAATAGTCATTAATACAAAAGACCCTTTCAAATATATACAAGTTTAGCAATAACAATTTTACAATTTCTTTCCGTAAGACTAAATATGGGGGAAAAACAAATTTCCTAATGACTGAAATCTGTTGGGCATGGTATAATGTAATATCAAACTTTATACTCTCAAGTAGAGCTGACCAATAGAAATTTAATGTGAGCCATGTATGTAATTTAAAAATTTCTAGTAACCACATTAAAAGTATGAAATTTTCATAATTTACAAACCAGTATCAAAAGTATCATTATTTCTATATATAAATATTTATTAATATATAATAAAGAAAATTAATGATATAGTTTCTATTTTTGCCATACTAGGTTCCAAAGTCTGGTACGTCTTCCACACTTACATCATATCTCACTACACGTAAGTACTCAACAGAGACCCATGTGGCTAGTGGCTTCTGAACTGGATTGTGTAGCTCTGGAGACTCTAGAGCAAAATAGAGCACCCTTGACTAAAATGCAACCTAAGAATCTTCTCCATCTCTAATCACAAATTTTCAGGTACATCTCAAGTGTTAAGACCTGGCTAATATAAAGCACACCAAACAGATGTTATAATCTTTATGACCCATAAAAAATATTAAAAAAACAGTGATGTTACTTTTATATGGTCTACTAACCTCTAAAAAAGCCTGGACAATGTAAAGGTCAGTACTGAAGTGCAAATTTGAAAAATATGAAATAGCCTCTTCTTTGGAAATAAATTCAATCCTAAAATGAAGGAAAGTAAATGATAATCCCTTCTGAGAAGAAGGGAATTTCGAGTGAAATGACTTTTTTCAGTGATCTTACTCCACACCACAGTACTAGTACCGAATTTACTAGACAGTGAATGGAGCTTAAGAAGCTGAGATGTGAACAAATACTTTTTACTAGAAGAGTTTGTAGTACCTTTGCGAACTTGAAGAATGGTCTTGGATCTTTTCTGAAATATTCAATATCAAACATTGCTTGAGGATCTGGAAGGTCTGGGAAGTCTACTGCAAGGCGAGCATAAATACCGTCTCTTGACCTGAAGTCAGGTATTCCACAAGAAACAGAAACCTGAAATATGCATGGCATAATTTGTACAATTAAATCTTCTACCTCTACCTTTATAATGACTTGTTCTCTTGTTATACAATTAGGAAAGAGTTGAAAAATATTTCATTTTGAAACTTTTGGGGAACAGAAATACCTCCCTATTCCAATTTAAAATAGAAATAAAACACCCCAAAAGAGTATTATTAAATCCATCACATATTCCATTCATAATGGGGTAAGGAATTTTAAGTGAAGCTAATTTCAAAGCATCTAACCAACAAATTAAAGCAACTGTAATTTGATTGAGAAGGGAATAAATCATTTCAAGTTATTTAAACTAGAAAGCAGAAAAGAAATTCTATTACAGTCAAGTATTTTCAAAGAAATCTCTCATCTGGTCAGGGTTCCACTACTTCAAGAATACTAAATTTCTACATTTAAAAAAAAATACAGTGTTGTACAATATTTAATTTCTTAATTGTTAAGAATAGATTTAGACACTGCTTTTTCTACAAATAAACCTTGACATTTCAAATAGGGATTTCAGGGTTATCTTTTTGTTTCATAATTTTACCAGAGTTGACACCACTTTGAACTCAGAGTAAACCAAACTTGTCTAAATCACATCTGTGAGCAAAGCATAACTATTCTTGAACATTTAAGATTAAGTTACACCCTCCCTAATTCAAAATGGCAGAAAGCAGGACTAAATTTTAATCCAGCATTGCCCTGGTCACTAACATATTCTGTATTCAACACAATACACAATAGGTTTATGTATTGGGTTGTCGGAAAAGTCATGACACATTTTTGCAACGAAAAACAGAAAAATATGTCATGACTTTTCCAACAACCCAATAGTTAGTTAACTGGGACCCCACAGTGGAGCAAATGAAAAATGTCAAGCCACCACAATCTCATCACCTTAATTTAAAATGGAGGGGAGATAGGAATCTGTTACTTTCCAACCCTAAATTCTTCAATTCTGAATACCAATTAGGTTCCTGGTTTCCCCATGAAGATAGAACAAATACCCAATTTCTCCATCAGACCCTGACACACTTTAATGCAAGCAGAATTCCCTGCATCTCCTTTAGGAGCTGTGGTATAATGTAGGTAAAAATCTTGCCTTAATTCCACTTACCTACTGTACTAATAAACAGAAATAAACCTTTTTCTAAGGTTGTTGGAGAGGTTTTTCAAAAATGAACCAATTTAGTAACCACTGCTGCACTCACTTTTTAGCAGTTTCCAAATACAAATGCCCATTAATCATGTAAGAATAAATGCTTCTACACCAGAAAAATATCTTAGTTGGAAAAGGCATAAGAAAAAACATACACCACTTCCCCCTTTTACTAGTGTTTTATACATCTTACATACCCCAGCTCCAGTTAGAACTATTATTTTTTTGCACTCCTGCAGTAATTTCACAGCATCTTCAATTGTATTAATATCTTTTCTTTTTTTTCTTTTTGGTGGTTCTGAAAGGATATTAATAACAATCTGCCACAGTGTCATATCATCCAATTCAGGTGGAGGAATTGTTTCTGGTAGTAAATCTTTAAGAATTGTTCGAGGATCTGTGCCAATCATGAGATGTTGCTGAACAAAAGTGTATGGACCTATATTAAGAGGGAAAATAATTATTTCAAATCCTCTTCCAAGTAATTCAAAATTCCATTTATTTGCTGAAGTAATGAATTAGCAATCGTTAAGGTTTTTTTCATAAAGTAAGAAAATGCAATATAAAGGTATTTCATTCTCATGACATCCTCAGAGCTAATGCTATATCCCAATGAAATTAGGGACAGCAAATCAAGAGTTAAGTCTGCCCCTTGAGCTATGTATTTTAAGAGTCAAACTAATTACCAGAATTAAATTTCGATCATTAAAATCCAGAAATACACACTACAATAACAGGAGTATGTACAAAAGGGTTCTACATATCAATATAGGAAAGATCTTACCAATCCCCAAAGCCCATACTATTTATCATTCAAGACATAGAGAAAAAGAAAAGGAAATCTATATATCTATCTAAAATAAACCTATATATAACTACTATCTTTTAAAATTTTTCCAGTAATAATCTTCAATTTGATCTTAACCAGTCTCCCAAAATGATACATACAATGCTGGTGTTTTGAGCATTAATAGTTTTTTCACCTGACATTTCTTCAATCAGTATCCTAGCTTGAAAAAAACCAAAAATATAGTAAATATTATGGCACTAAAGAACTAATCATAACTATATTTAAATAGTCAAGAATGAGAGCACATTAAGAAAAGTTATAACTTTAGTAATAAAAATATGATAGTCTTCTCTACTTCAAAATACTTTCCCATTTCATCCATATACTTAATAAAGATTTACTGAGCACAAATTGTGTGCTAGGCACGTACCTAGGCACTGATAAAACAGTATACACAAATCAGTCAAAAATCCCTGCCCCAAACGGGGTTTACAAGTATATTTTAGTATATGAAACACAATAAAAAAGTGAAGATACAAAGCTTGGTAAGAAGTGATAAGTGTTAAAAGAAAAAAAAAGAATGGATAGGAAGTGAGGGAGCAAGATACCCTAACTAGAGGAAGAGCATTCCACACTGAGGGTACCAGTGAAAAGGACCCAAGGACCCAAGGTGAGAGAAGGACCTGGTTGTTTGAGAAATACCAAAGGCCAGCTTCCATAAGCCTGAGCTGTTTAAAAATAAAAACATAACAAAGCAGTACACTTTCCCTAGAAACATAAGCTGATATTAAATCTCAGCAAGCACCTAAGGAACCTCATAACTAGGTTACAAGGGGGCAGAGAATTGTATTTTTAGTTGGCATTAAAATTAAAACAAAGAAAAAGACATTTACTCTCTTAAAGCTGTGAAACCATACCTATTCGTGGCCTTGGAGTCCAGTCACTAGAGCTTGCATGTGAGGCTCTATCATCCTCATCACTTTCACAGGAATGAAAACCATTGGTGATTATTTCATCACCAAATAGAAGGTTATCTGGAAAAGAAACCAAAAGTAACTAAAGCTACTGAAACAGTCTGCATCTAGAATGTATGAAGATCTACAATGGCTACAATGCAACAATTTTCACTGAATAAAGCACTTAACATTCATATTGCCTATGTAAAGAATGCCTACTAGATCAGCTTGCACCATTCACAGGCACAGTATATATCCTCATCTTTAGGGATTCTGCCCACAATCTAAAAGTTTCAGTTCATAAAAAAATCTAGATATAAATTAAGTCTTCTTAATCAAAACACAAAAAGTAGTTATCTAGTTAGACTGAATTTATCAATCACAAATAGTAGAGCTCATAAAACTTGTCAAATAAAAATTTACCAAAAAAATTTGTTCCAAGTAACTACAGCAATTTGCACTTCTATTATAAAATACTAAACATACAAAGATAGCTTTGCATTATTCGTTTTCCCTATTAAACTGTTTCTTGAATGAGATCTTTGTATTAATCAAGTCTTTAATGCACGTTACCTTTAAATATGGTCCAATGGTCCATTGATTAAATTTACTGATACAAGTAATGATGAAGACGCACATCCATCCAGGACAGAAACTCCTCACATCGACAATATGAAACCCTCAAAGATGACATGACATATACAACTAACACATATGCTTTAGTATGCCAAAATATGTCAGTCGTGTTTCAGGGTTACATATACACACGTAAAGGATTATACCTAATCTTAAAACTATTTTAAGAACATGAATAGAGGAAAAATACTATTCATACAAAGTACTCTAAAAGTACTACCACTCTCCTATGTCCACTATTAATTTCACCACAGAAAGGTAATGTCTTTAGAAACAGCTAAATTCTTCAAAATTTGGAGGCTATGACTTTAGAAATAGCTTTGCTCTTGCAATATCAAGACCAGTTTAAAAATAAAGACCCTCCCCCCCAAAAGTCACAAATTGCACAGGTGTCAATTTGCAAAGACAACTGCAAAAAGTCGGTGCAAGGGATAAGCAAAAGTTGCAGATTTAGAGTGCTGGGGGTGGGGGTGAAGGGTGGAAATGATGTTTAACAAAAGCAATATGCTAAAAGAGTAGGCGGGGGGAACTTATTTTAAAACCTGCGAGAGCTTCCCCGCCCGGCGGCTGCGTAAAGCGCAAGGCCGCCCAGGCGGGCCGCGCACCCAGGGACAGACGGGAGGGAAGGAGCGAGTCCGCAGGCCGCTCCCGCAACCAGGCCGACAGCCCCGGAGGCGCGCAGCTGAGGGCGCTGGTAAGGAGAGGGCCACGGCAGGGCCAGCCCTGAGTCGCAAGCCCACCCAGGACCCCGCCACCCCATACCAAGGGGGGCCCAGGGAGAGGGAGGAGGGAATGCGCAGCCCCAGCCGCCCGCGCCCTGCGCACCTCGGTACCCAATCGCCGCCGCTTCTTCCTCCTCCTCGCCCTCATCGTCGTCGTCGTCGAAGTCATCGGCCGCCGGCGGCTCCAGGGATAGGCCCTGTAGGCCCGGCCCATTGTCTCCTCCGCCCGCCGCCGCCTGGGCCTCCCGCTCCCCGCCCGCCGTCGCC